TTGAATCATTTGACCTTGGGCAAATCATTTACCATCTCAGAGTATTTTTCCTTTTCTAAGAAATGGACCTTGTAGTACCTGCTCTGCCTACTTTTTGTGTTAGTTGAGATCAGATGTACATTAAAGCACCTGACAAATAATAAGGTGCTTATTACATCTCTTTATGTAGTTTATGTTTATAAACAGCCTTCCCAAACAGACCGTAAACTCTTTAAGATAAATAAGTCAGTCCTCAGTATTATATCTCCTTACACCTCCCACTCCTTAGAAATCCTTACATGCACGTAGAACAGCTGTTATCCTCTTCAGAAGGCTGTAAGAAGTGTGTCCTGTTTTAAGTCAACTGCTGATTTGTTAAATTTTCTAATCTGCCTTCTTTTTCCTCTTAGCTTTACTCACCGTGTCTGAGGAAGTTCGAAGTCGCTGTAGCCTAAAACATAGAAAGTCTCTTCTTCTTACCGATATTTCAATGGAAAATGTTCCTATGGATACATATCCCATTCATCATGGCGACCCTAGCTATCGGTAAGTGGACTTCTCCCACAATTACCTAATTGTGATCAGCTTTCAATGTCCTAAGCTAATGGGGGCAAGCAGCAGAACAATCCAGAATGAATATAGAGATAACCTAGGCAGAGTGTGTAAATCAAAACTCATTTTATAAGTGTAAAGTAGTTTATGTGGGTTAGTAGTAGGAAAACTATCATTCTTCTAATCTTGTTGTGCTAATGTTGCCATTAGATGGCCTCTTTGAAGCACAAACCAGTTGAACAATGAAAAGAGATGATCTTATAAGTATTAGGTTACAGGAACGGGCCAAAGAAAAACATTAACATGAAATACAAGCAACATTCCATGCTTAACGATAGAAAACTAAGCTATACAGATTTGTAAAAGAAATATACATGCCAACACATTTGTTGTATTTACTTAAATCACATTAAAGTTATTAAAAAGTTTTCTGTAGTATAGATTTAGGTGATAAGATAATCAACTTATGTCCACTGATATATGTGGTTTTGGGGTAGTACATTTTTCTCTATACTATGGAGAAATTACATGAAAATGTCATTATTTGGGGATTTTTCTATATTTTTTCAATTAAATGAAAGTATTTTTAAGTCTTAGGTGCGGTGTCAATAGGAAAATAATCTTATATTTATAGACTTTATATCATTCAATTTATCAACATCCCACTTTTTGACTAAAAGCCCTTAATAATTTTCCACTAAAATTTTAGAAATGTATGCAAAAGCTTTCCAGGCAAACTTGGTTTTCAGTAGTCTTACTCTTCAGTCATTCCTCTGATTGTATTTCTTTGTGATATTCCCTTTTTATTTTAGAAAGGAGAAAGTGAGTTTGCCTGTGTTCCACTGTCAAAGTATAAATTAAGATTGATTTTCTTGGTTTTGAACTAAGAATACAATTGCCTATTTAGAGCTGATTTTCCCTGATTTAAAAATCAATGTAGTACAATTTTATTGAGCATTCAGTGAGTACCTTCCATGTGTAAGATACCACAATAAGAAAGTGGATTCTCCCTGGAGATACATTAAGAATTTGTACCCTAAAGCCNAAAAATAAAAATATTTATGCATAAGGAAATCACTGGGGTTTTTTTGAAAAGAAAGCCACTGCCTGGGGCTTAACCACCTCCCATGATTTTGAGAAGGGACCCAGTACTTTCGGTCTTTCAACAAGCATCCTCTGTGACTTTAAAGTAGATATCCCTGGAACCACACTTTAGGAAACACTTAAAATCTTAATTCTCCTGGGCAAGTTGCATAGAATTTTGAAGTTTCAGTTTCTTGATTTTCCCACATCAGAATGTAAAATCCACTAGGGTGAGTAGTTTTTGTCTGTTTAGTTACCTGCAGAACCTAGAACTATGCCTGGTGCATCAAAAACCACACAAAAAAATCTTTGATAAGTAAAAGAAACAGTAAATGCATAAATCTGTAAATGGGAGCTAGTAACCTTACTGCATAGGATTGCTTTAAGGCCTCCATATAATAATGCGTCTGACATTATTGTATACTGCAGCCCCTCGGTAAATATGAACTGTCTTCGTTCTCATGACTTTTCAGTCACCATGGTACACAAAATGCTAGCTATAATTCAATGGATGGTCATATTTAAAGCAACAATAATTGTAATTTTTAAAAAGTCACCAGGCTGTAAATAGACCGTCATTTATTTTGCATTATAAATCAAAGCTATTTCATCTTTTGCCATTTTATTTATATGGTTGCCTGTCTTGCACTAATTAATTTGCAGTACCTTAAATATTCTGTGGTTTTCAGTAGTCATCTGAAAATGATTCTGTCAACTTGAAAGGATTACTTACCTTGTCATAGCCCTTGAACACAATATAAAACCCAGTAGGTGGTCCTTTAAGGAAAGATTCTGTGTGAGCTCATCAACCATTTCCTGATTCTCTTTAATAGAGCCCAGAAGAAGTGTTTATGGCAATCCGGAACCCTCTGGAATGGCACTGCAAGCAAATGGATCATTTTGTTGGACTCAATTTCAACTCTAACTTTAACTTTGCCCTGGTTGGACACCTCTTAAAAGGTAGAGGCCTTGTGTCAGAATATTTTTATAAAACGGTATCAAGAAGCCAGAAGTACTTAAAATAATTGATTACTTGAAATAATGTGGCTCATAGGTCTTATTGTAAATGCAAACTATATCTGCTTATTGAACTATGTTTTGTTTAATATATATTTTAATAGAGTCTAATTTCACATCAAAGATCAGATTAAAAGAAGAGATGATTTTTATAAAATTCGTAAGTACTAAACCTTCTAATAACTATTAATAGTTAACACTACTTACATATCTTTTTGATTATCAAAATAAGACAGTCTGCAAATATATAAATGTTATTTGAGTAACTTTGGCTAGAAAATGAGTGATTTGATCACAGATTTTTTTCAGCTTCTTTCTTGTTTGTTATCTATTGTCAACCAATCCCGTTATTACATCATCTTTCTGGTACCCCTCCCTCATGCCTCCAAATTCCTACATTGCTTATAGCAGTGATCTCCAGCTGTCCATCAGAGCCAGCTCTTTCACTCCCGAATCTGGCTTCACTCCCTACTGCAGACTTCACTGCATGTTAGCTTTGGTGTGTGAACATGGGACAGTCATGAAACTGCAGTTAACAGGAACAGAATATAGTGATGAGTCAGGGACAACAGTGAAAAGTGAGGCCTGGGATAAGGAGCTAGCATGTACCAGTGACCTTAAGCAGCACTGGATGTGGTCACAATAGAGACTGAAGGTAGAACTTGAGTCTACAGTTTTGTATCAATTTAAATGATTCTTAGGCCTCAGGGAGGGATCACGGAGGTTCCCTCAGTAGTTTTTACCTGATATAATTAATATATACATCTACAACTGAATGTATAATATATTTGATTTTACCACCTTATGAAATTTCTGCAAAAAATACTGACAGTTTTAATCTAAGGTGAAGAGGGATTGCTCAAAAGATATTACACTTGCTACAGGATACCAAGAAGAGCGATTGCAACTGAGCTGACACAGTACTTGCTTATTCTGTATTTCTAAAAGAACACCAGATATCTCCAGGGTACAAATCCCCTATTTTAAAATGGAGTAGCATCAGTGATTAAAAGCTGTCCGATGATCAAGCTTACCCTCTAATTAACCCTGTTCTTTGGGCTCTAAGAGCATATACTTCCTGTGTCATTAGGTTTTTTCCTTTAAGTTAAAAAAAAAATTTTTAAGCAATAGAACCCTATTTTCAAAAGATATCTGAAGGTGAACTTCAATACATAGGGTTTTGTTTTTTGTTTGTTTAATCTGTGCTGCTTTAGGGACTGGAAGATCTAAAACACCATCATCTTCCTAATTTTTGTCTCCCTGAGGTACCTTAAGAGTTCCAAGGAACATTATTCTATTCCACACATTTTGGTACGTAATCCTATGTGTAATTAATTAACTCATATATGTATGTTTTACCTTCCCAAATGGCTGTTCTCGAAAGGCAGGAATTAACCCTTATACCTCCTTTTCTTGCAGAGTTGCTCATCACAGAACTCAACAAATACTCGTTGAAAGAATGAATTAACTTCTTGTTTTTATTTTTTGTAGGATACAGGCATCCTTCACCTGCCATTGTTGCAAGAACAGTCAGAATTTTGCATACGCTACTAACTCTGGTTAACAAACATAGAAATTGTGACAAATTTGAGGTGAATACACAGAGCGTGGCTTACTTAGCAGGTAAAAACACAAAATAAACACGTAATCTTGCCACATCTATATCTAAGGACCTTCACAAAGATAAACACCTATGGGTCCTTCAGCTCGTTGCTTGGCAGGGTAAAGAGTTCACAGTCTAGTCCTATGGTGGTGGTTAAAATTTTGAAATTTTTGCCAAATCATTTTTCCTTATGAGAGCACATTAAAATCTGAAACGCGTTCCCTTTGTCATCTTTGGTTCAAGACACTACTGTGTGGTTCCCTGTCATTTGTCATAAAGTCTGAACACCTTTGCCTAGCAGCCGGGGCCCTTAAGGAGCCCTCCTGATTCTGGCCTCTTTCTCTAAATGTCATAAGCCTCATTTTTTATTACCTTCAAATGGTTGGGCTGTTTTAAGCTAACCTATTTGCCATCCCCTGGAGGTGCCTTTCTGCCTCTTTAATATTCATTCCTGATGCCATTTGTTTTACCTCGAATGTCTGCCCATCCCCACCATTCCATTAAACCTTCTTTATATGCTCTTATCTGATTTCTCCACTCAACAGTACTTAGCACTTATGTATGTTCTTGAACGTAGTCATTTAGTGGAAAGTGCTGGTTCCCAGTATGGCAGACTTCAGTTTGTGGCAACTTTTTTGTTTGAATCATTTGACCTTGGGCAAATCATTTACCATCTCAGAGTATTTTTCCTTTTCTAAGAAATGGACCT